ATTCTTTGGGCATCTTTTGAGTTTACCTTCAGCTATAAACTAATGATCTCAGAAATTCTCTGACGAATTTTTTTTTCTCTCCTCAAATTCAACTTCAGCTATTTGAAAATTTTCACATACATTTTTTGTTATTTTTTCATTTAGTATTTTAAGAAAATTTTGAAAATTAGGTTATATTAATGTCTTCCATAAGCATTGCACACACCCCTCTTCCCCCCATCAGCAAAAATAAGCATATCACAAACCCTCTCCTTGCCATTAGGTGTTTATGCAATATTTGAATAGTCCCTAGTAATATATTAGCATGTTTGCAATCAAGGCACGCCACTGATTGTAACAAAGAAAAAACGAGGTACACGCAAAGTTTTTCTCATACAGCAAACAGCAATAAAGTGTCATTTGAATACACAAATACATTGAATTCTTCAATAGTTGCAACAATTCATAGAAATCAGGGCACGAAAAAACTGAGAAATTTTACCAGAGGACGGCTTGTCCAACAATGTACCCGTCCTCCTTTGAAACTAACCCCCGCAGCAACTAAATAAATAAAAATATAATTTTCTCTTATTTATTACAAATATTTATATAAATTGCACAATGAATTAGTAGTTACTAGGATTACAAATACTAGGTTACTGATAGTAACCTAGTATTTCCTTTATGAAATAATTTAAATGACAAAGTTCAATTTATCCGAGGGTACTGCGTTTTTTAAATGAATCAAATATGACGTTTGGCAGTTCCACAATCAAGCCAATGATTTACAGAGGTTTCGGCACAGAAATCTGAAAGGGGTTTTCCATTTAGGTAGATGCTCATAATTACGTTTAACGCTTCTTGTTTAAGACCAGTTCGTAATGTGTTTTTTTGTAAGTTCATTGCTGAAAAGTTCCTTTAAATCGCTGCAGTAATCACAGACAGAGAAAACATCAATTCCACCATGCGCAGAGTGCTGCTGCATTTCTAGATTAGAAGGTCATTTTAGAAGTGAGGCGCTAGACTCTTGTAAGATAATAAAAATTGAAAATGTATCACGAACACTAATGGGAAAATGGCCGCCCGCGCGGAGGTCGGATTCGAAAAATTCGTTGTCAGCGGGGAATTTTTGATCGCCGAGGACGGGCGGTTTTTCGAGCACTGATGGAAATAACAATGCAGATACAAAAGAACAGCAATGTCAATTTAATGATAATACATTTAAGTAAAGAGATTAAAGCAATAAAAATAAACACACAATAGCACAAATATATAAACACAAAAAAGACGCCCTTCAGGTAATTTTCCAAGAATAAAAAACTACACATAATTAAAAAGTACTCAACGTAATAGGGTGGGGAAGGAACAGCAAGAAAATACCTCGTTATAAAAGAATTTTCAAGCGCAACAAATTTCTCCTTTGACATACAATAACAATTGAAAATAGAATATATAATATTCTTAAAGAATATAGAATATTCTTTAATTTTGTAATTACACTTTGAATAAATCTCAAAGCCACAATAGTAAGCTACACCCCTGCAAAATAATTATTTTGTTATGTCAAAGTAAATTTCTTGAAAGACGATAACACGTTTTGAGAAAAGAGAGTAAAACAAAGACAAACACATTAATAAAATATAACTGCCTTAAGCAATTTGAAAGGTTTTTTTGAAAAGGGAAATTATTATGGTATAAATACAGCTATAAAGTTCCCGAAAAATATGTGCACATTTGTGAATGGGTTTGTTCGATTTTGATCCCATCAAAATAGTGTGAGAAGAAGAAAGTATCTCAAACAGAAATCGGAACCAAGTAAAAACGGCAGTTGTCAATGCATAACCTATTAAAATAACAGGGGATTTTCAGAGAAGAATCGTCATAGCTTTCTAAATCAAGCTGTTATTCGTATTTTAACGATGAAACAAATAAATTGACTTAAGCTGATATTTCATTACTGCTTCAATCAAATTTTAAAATCATGAGAAACACAATATGGCAGATACAATGGAATAGACTAACTGATGTCTGGGTAATATATGGGACACTTACTGTTTGTCTAAGATATGTACTCTGACCGCCACTAAGTCTGCGGCAGTCTTGTGCTATGGAAACAAGAAGAGGGCACTTTAGGGAGGGTAGCTTCGATGAAGAGGTCTACTTTTCCATCGCCGAAACCAGTCCTAAAGAGGGACCCCTCACCCCTACTCAAAATAATCATACCTCGTTGCCATAGTCACCGCCACAGCTCCAGACGAATGTCTGGCAGAGTACCTATCTTAGACAAACAATATGCGGGTTTTTGTTACACTTAACACAAATGTGGCAAAATTCGCTCACATTCTTGACACTTAAGTGTATAACCATAGTCTGATTTAAGATGACAAAAACTAAGAACTTGAACATTAAGAGCTGAATGTTTGACATACATAGATTGTTTAACTAAAGATTTAGATGAAGAAAAAATGCTGATCTTTGTTAATGTAAAAAGGTATAAGGAATATCTAAATCATCTTTAATTACTAATTGAAAGTTTTAAAGCTTAATAATCTTTTTGATTAGAAAAAATTGATTGAGACATTTTATAGTTTACACAGTAAAAGTAACATACATGGATTGTTTAATTAAAGATTTAGATGAAGAAAATATGTTGATCTTTGTTAATGTAAAAAGGTATAAGGAATATCTAAATCATCTTTAATTACTAATTGAAAGTTTTAAAGCTTAATAATCTTTTTGATTAGAAAAAATTGATTGAGACAGTTTATAGTTTACACAGTAAAAGTAACACTTGTGATTTTAAAAAAAAAGAGAGTAAATTATTAATACTAAGAAATATTATAAGAAGTGTCATATATTACATTACAAAGGCAATACTATTTATACAACAAAGATTATACTATTTATATTGTTTTCTTGTGTGCCAAGTTACTCCAATTTATCATTCAAGGTCTGTTTCTTGGAAGTATTTTATACTTTTGGCTAATAAGATTTAAAATTATATACGCTCAAACTTTTCTTTTTACAGGGATTCATCACAAATAACATAAATAAGTGATTATTTCTTTTGATATTATTACAAACTGGCAGTTTTCATATTGTGCAATCGAACAATACCCTTATCGTTGCTTAAATATATGCGCACACAATTTTAGAGATTTGTACTTCATCAACTACAAACTGCACTTAACCACGGTATTATTAAATTTAGGCCATTATCATCTTGAATCGAACCTTGCTTTTCTTATATTTTGCATTTTTTGCTCTTACTTTTCACATAGACAATTAAATAAGCAAAAAAATTAGTAGAATATTTTTTTTAGACTTCCACCTCGTCCCTAAAATTTTAAATGCTTTTTACATTTTTAAACAAAATATTTTGTGTTCAAAATGTCCTTAAATGTATTTTAATGAGCTATAAACTAAGTTAATACTCAGTGCAGAAATTAAAATATAAATAATCCGCAATTATAATTTAATATTCTGTAAAAAGATAATAAACTTGGCATGTTATTCTGAGATTTGGTGTAGGCAAAGACGATGCTTTTAAAACATGCACATTATACTTCATTCCTCTTATAAACAAACAAATTAAAATCTTATTATTTTCTCTTAAAATTTTACAAAAACGCACAATAGAAGTAATTTAAAACTTGTGAACTGAATGTGAACAAATTCTTCACTACATAGCCAAACTTTTATTTCCTTGGTAATGCAATAAATTACGAATTCTGAGCTTAAATGTAATAATAAAAGATGAGAGAAAAATAAAGATAGGTAACCAAATATATTATCAGTTCCACAAAACCTAAGGTGTATTTCGACCAAACAAGGAAGTATCAAATTAAATAAATAGTGTCATTTAAAAAAAAAATATGCTTGCTTTGTCTCAAGTACAATGTTGGGGAAATAGATCTTAATATATAATGCATAAAGCAATGGACAACTGAATTTAAAATAAACCGATAAAACTTTAAAATTAATGAATTTAAAAGTTTTACAATTAAAGAAAATTTAATAGTACTAATAATAATTTTACAAAACATTACATTAAATTTTACACATATTCAATAAGAGAAAAAAATACACACACAATTTAGAATATTCTAAAACTTAACACAACTTTCTTAGCTACAAAACCCTAGAGGCAACTACCAATTTTACTCATAAGTAAAATTATAAATATTTTAATTAAGTTTAAAACACTTAAAGTTAGGGTATCAAAACACAAGATCATTACTCCTGTCCAGGGCGAATAGGCTATTTAAAATAATGATTATCATCTCTGATTATTGTATTTTCCTTACTACTATTTTATTTTTTTCTCACAAATATTTTTTTCTTCATAAAAAATACACAATTCTTTTAAAAATCAATATACTATTGACCTATAAATTAGCACTTAATTTTGAATCAGAAAACTAAGATGTGAATATAGGACAATGAAAAATAAGAGAAATTTTTTTTCTGTTATTTATAAAAATTTAATAATAATTTAATGCCAGCTATTAAATCAAGTTAGTTCATTTTATTGGCAGCTGTGTCTTTACATTAAAAAGTGCACAACTAAAATCAAACAATTGAAATGGAAGGGTTTATTTCAATACTGAAAGTTAAATAAATTTATCTATTTAATTTTAATTTTCTTAATTTAAATACATAAGTACATATAGTAAAAACTAGAACTAAGAAAGATTAGAAAAATATTTTTCTAGAAATACAACAATGGTTGAATTTAGATCAAAGAAAAAATGGCAAGTTAAATCTTAATTTCTCAAATTATAGTGAAAAGCATTTTGTTGAAAACATTAAAAGTGTTAAATTAAAATTGAAAACAAAGTAATAGATAGGCCCACAGGTAGAATGAATTATATTGTGTAAAATCTATGCAGTAATGCATCAACAAAGAGCAAAAATTTTTATTGCTAAGCACTTTTCTTTTTATTTGGCTCTTTTCTAAGCAATATAAGTTTGGAAATGAGTTATAAAACTTTGAGTCTTAAAAATCAACTAGGCAGACGTAAGAGTAAAAAGACGAGCTTTCTATGTTCCTTTATTCAATAACATAAAATTAACAGACACAAAATAAATGAAAAACACCAATATGAATACAAGGAATGAATGAGCACTACTCCAGCTATTTGTGTTGTGTTTAAAAGTATGAAATGAATTTAATAGCGTCCTCCAGGTCTACGACCCATTCCTCCATATTCCTGTCTCATATTTCCCATACCTGGACCAGAATTGAATGATCCACCAGAATAACTGCCAGGTTGGTTCCCAGGGCCTTTAAATTGATCAAATTGGTTTTGACCAGGAAAATCATTACCCATGCCACGGGGGCCACCTGAACCCATTCCCATATTACCACCTCTAGGTGGACCCATACGATTTACATCAGACATTCTTTGTTGACCCATTCCAGAGTCTTGCATGTTATTACCTCCAAAATTGTGTTGTGAACTCATTCCACCCATATCAGACATACCACCAAATCTTCCAGGAGGTCCCATGCCCATACCATCAGATGAGCCCACATTTCCCCTAGGTCTTGGGCCACCTAAATCTGACAAGCCGCCTGGTCCCCTAGGTGGACCCATGTCTAAATTTCCTGGACCTCTGTTATTGGCATTTCCACTGATATCGGACAATCCACTAGGTCCCCTAGCTGATCCCATACCATCTCTTGGCATTCCCATGGCATCATTGGGAGATCCCATTCCAGTGCTACTTATTGGAGGCTTAGATGTATTCCCAAGAAGAGAACTTTGAGGTTGATTTGACAAAGAAGATTTGATATTTTTTAGTATATTTGGTCCAGTTTGTATTAAATTGTCCAATGCTTTTTGCACACTTGGATCTCCAAAATTAATAAATGTGCTTGGCGGAGCAGCATCACCACCTGTTTGAGTGTCTCCTAAAGCAGAACTTGCATCTCTACTAGTTGAAAGTTTATCATCCATGGTTTTTAGCCCAGGAATATTTGTACTCCCAGACGATGGCGGATTCATGGTATTAGCCCCGAAAGACTGATTACCTCTATTTAATGGAATATCATTACTTGACAACATGTTGGTATTTTGACTTGAAGATGTAGGTGCTCCTTGATTCATGATATTCATAATGCGATTTTGGAGATCTTGTTCTTTTTGGGCCACATCAATATTATCTTCTAGGAAAGAAAATTAGAATTTTTTTAAAAACATTAAAATGTACAAACACTGTAAAAATAACAGAAAAAGTAAGATTTGCTTTTTGCAATAAAATGTTACGGTGATACCTACAGCAGATTACCCATTATGAGGATAAATACTTATTAGGAAGTTCACAGTAAAAATATCAGGAAAAGATTAACGATTTTATAAAAATTCATTTAAACAATAAACATTTTTAAAGCCAAAATAAAAGTATTTACATTTTTTATGACCTTTCATGTATTATTAATGGTACAAAAGAAAGTCTTAACACAACAGCATATGACTAAGTTTGGTTTATCTCAGTATTTTATACGGTATAACAATTCTAAGAAAAGAAAAAAAAAAAAGACATACAACGGAGACAAAAAAATATCACAATCTAACTCTATTGACTACTCTATGAATTGAGGTTAGTTATTTTTATACTATTTCTCATAAAATAAATAAAATTTTTAGACCAGAGCTGCATTTTGATTATACCCTTTAAACCTACAAAAATGACTAAAACCCCTCATATGTTTTCCTTTCCGCTCGGAAGATTAAACAAAACAATCATTAAAAATAAATCTGCTAAAAAAAGATTTCACCTCTTATTTCATGTTGAAAAATCCATTCCAGTTACATATAGCTTTCTACTTATCTTTACGTAAAGGAACTCAACAAATTAAAAATGACAAATCAGTTTATATATGAAATACGAAGTAAATTTCGTAAAAAACAATGGATATTTTATTTAACTTTCTGAAAAAAAGTTTATAACAAGTTTTATAGTTTAAAACTTTCTTTTCCTTACTTACTCTTACAAGATTATTTATGAGCGCTAGTGTCACAATGATGTAATAGGAAGAAAAGGTTACAATATTCAGCCAACTCATAAGTGTAAAATTATTAATTTTATTAAATTAATTGAAACTTTGAGTAATTGTAAAGAAAAATAACAATTGGACCAATTTTCAGCTAGATATGCAACATTTAACCTGTTAATCAAGATGCATAACTTAATAATACTTAGTCAAACCAGCTGAAAAGGTATTTTGTTTGTAGTTAGAAAATAGAAGCAAAATATTTAAAATAAAAGTGAAAAAGGCAAATTTTAATTTCAGGAGAAATCCATTAAGGATACAAGAGAAAACAAAATAAGGTTGTACTTACTTTGAAAGGGGGGTTGATCCATCTTTATATTAGCAGGAGGGATGGGAGTTCGACCGATTCTCCTATCTTCCTCTGCATTGCCCGTAATTTTATCTCGCCTTTCAGTTAAGTAACGAATTACTGCAGTTAACTCAGTTTCAGATAACCATCGTCCATCAGCGAGCATGCGAAGCAGTAATTGAATTTCTCGGTCGGCAGATACGTTTCCAACGTAAGGTCCACGCTCGGCTCGTTCGCGTTCCATTTTTTCTCGTTGCAAGCGAACATGCTTATGAAAGTTTTGACCCAGCAACTTTAGAGCATCTTCTAATGGCATATTACGATGTTCTGCAACAAATAAATACATGTTTTTTAAGCAATTTAGTAAGAAATAATAATCTTTAAAAAGACTATTAAATTAAATATACACATTATTTAAAAAAACAAGGATTCTAATCAATGCAACAAGTACATACCTGTTACTCAACAAGGCTAATTTTATCAAAAAATAAGTTTTTTTTCTGAGTATATACAGGAATAGAAAAATCTGAGGTAAAGGCTGATTGACATTCATTAAAAAATGTGATTTCTGAAAAGTTGCACTTGGCAACCCCTGTGCAGGGTTGGTAGGTTTCCGATACCACAACAGTTTTTGATAATTTGAACAGCTATAAACTTCAAATTAAACATTTTTGTAATAATGTAATTTTTTTTTTGTTATTTCAGATGCCCATAATATTTGTCAAATAATAAATTAATACTAAATTAGAGGCTGAGGTCGAAAAAAAAAACCCATATTATTTTTGCAGTTTATACAACTACTTTCTAAATGTAGTAACTACTTCATGTTGAACACATCGTATTAGTAATTGAAATGCGAATTGAAGGGGTATAAATTACGTAAAGATTGCTTACTTTGCTTCTCGTAAGCGTTATTATACCAGTGAATAGGACTGAGCGCTTCAAAAACTTATGAGTATATCTCCAAAAAAGCACATTTGGAAGGATTGTAGGGCAACACAAATCAATGATTTATGTAATGAAGTATTTCTTTTAAAATAGACCTTGAATCCAGCCATACCCTTCAGCATTAGATGATTCAAACATCTGATCAACATATTATTTGGCAGTTTGTACATTTTTTTTAAAAAAGATGTAATTTCTAAAGCTAGTGGTTAACACAGACAATAAACTTCAACTATTTAGGATTAAGCGTTGTTGAACTATATAAAATTAGTTTATCACCGAAAAAACGTTACTAGTTAAAGATAAATCGATTTAACATAGGTTTCATTTTTACAACCTGTAGCAAGATGAATTTTATTTATATTATCTCCCAACCGTAAGACATGCCATGCAAGTTTTACACTGCTTGATTGATAATTTTTTTTTTAAACTGACAATTAACTTAATAACTGGTCTTTTTTAGTAATCAGATTCATACCAGTGGTCAGAAAAACTACATTAATTTTGAAATTTACTACAAATATTTTTCTTAAATGCAGTGACTACAAAATACTTTGGAATTGTAGTAACTACCTCACTACTTTAAGGAGACAAAATTTGCTGGAGAACTTAATTTACACCTATGTTCAAAATGATTTTGAATAAGAAATTGGCTTACATTAAATATAAGGGAATAATAAAAAAAGAACTTATTCATATTTACACGATCCAGTTTGCTATTCTATTTATGCCTTTCTCGACAGTGAATATTTAATTCAAGAAATACGAAATTATCAAATGCTTGCAATTGTTAAACACTCTTTTATTCCTTCTAAGAAATTAAGTACATCGAAAATATGTTCCCTTCCTTTGAAACAACATCAATGTTTCATGAGGGTGCGTTTGCAAGTGAGAGTGCGACTAAAGTGATTAAATATCTATTTCGCATAATGACTAGTTTAAATATTAGTTATAAGTGATTTTAAATATGTAACTTCTATTAACGCTTAGCTAGAGCCACGGGGTCATTTTCCTTTTATCCATCGACGGACCCGTGAAGATTTGTATCCATCAAATTCGAAAAATTAGTCGGGTTAGAACAGTGTTTCTTTTCTAAACTAACGTTAAAAGTAGATGACAGAAAACACTACAAATTGGTTTTTTCTGTACATCATTACTTACTATGCTACTTTTTTTTTAAAAAAAAAAGTAGCACACTACACTACACTACGAAAAAAAGTAGAGACTACAGTAGTTTCACTACTTGTAGTGCAATACTTCTGACCACTAATCCGTACTGACAATATATTCAAATAAGTCAAAACATATTGACAATATAAGTCAAATTTGACAGCAAGGAGTAAGATTTATTTACCCCACTTCTTCCAAATATACGAATTGAATCAGATTTGAAAAGTCACTTTTTAAACAGACACCAAAGGAGAGCATAGATCGTTTCCCCCCCATTTAGTAGGTAAAAACGGAATCGAAGTTTGAAATGAGACGAAAGCATTGCTAGTTCTTCATGCCTCTGAAATGGAGTTAAAGTATCTAATTATTACTACTTGAGCAATAAATCAGAATAATTACACTGATTCAACATCAGATTTGTATGCATGAGTATACCTAAATGATACACTGTTGGAATTTATCTGAATATTCAAATAACATGCCAGCTATTTATCATAAAGGATTTCTTAAAATATCAGTACACACGATCCCTTGCAATTAAAAAACTTAATATATTTTTTTAAACTTTCTAACATTTATTTTGTGTAATTAACAGGATAAATTTGTTGCTCTTTTCAAAAGAAACAAGAGCTCTTATCATTTCCAATACTATTTTACAAATTCATTGAAATTCTAATATTGCATAAAAATATAAAAGAAATTTTTTTTGGCTAACTAAATAATGGCTTTAAATAGAATATTCAATAACACCATTAGACAAATTTGATTTTTCTCGCCATAACACAAGATAGACAGGTGATCAACATGAAAAGTCTTGATATAACCATATCTTGAAAGCATTTTCTGGTAATGTTTTAGTCAATTAAACACTCAGAGCTTCACCACTAAGCGATTGGCTTTTTGATATGTTACAACAAAGCACATTCAACAGATTGATTCATACATTTGAACTTTATTGTACTTAAAATTACATCATGCTATCAGTTTAATTGTGTTATGTTATGAAAGTGATCAAATTTTGGGGCTATAATAATGGAACATTTTTAAGCATTGTAAAAATTCGTTATAATGACTGTTCACGATAGCAGACAGAATTTTCTAATAGCGAGCTATTTGCTATAAACTAATACAAACATTTAAAGCAAAAATAACAATAAAAAAAACAACTAAAAGGTGAAATTGAAACATTTAATTCTTCCCCTTTTATTTGGAATTATTTTAATTTAAAATAAATGTCTAGAGTAGAACCGGGCGATATTGGAAATTTTAATATTGGCATGATAATTTAATGATGATATATCATCGTCTGAAGTATTAATATTTTATCATGATACATCACAATATTTTCAATCTTACTAATTTACTTATTTTATATTTGACAATGTTTCTTCAACAAAATGAAAAACAGGCATTTTTTAAAATAACTGAGTAATTATGAAAGCTTAGATTAATCAATTTACATTGTTCTGAGGTAATTGTGACTGAAAATTGTATAGATAATTGGCATAACTCACAATGGCTGATGTTAAATCTCTTAGTATATTTGAAGCACATATGGAAGCAAGTTTTTTAAAAAAAATAATTAACATATAATTAATAATTTCAAAAAGTTTTAGAAAAATTCTAACAATATCTTTTAATTATCAATCTTTGAAATGCATTATAAAATGGCTATTTTTTTCATTCACTGTTAAATGCTGACTCCCAAACATCGAACATTATTTAAAATAAATATTCAATGATGGTTTATGCATTACATTACTGATTTAATGTTATTTTTTCTACATATTTTCCTTTTTAGTAATTTCATAAGGGAAAGTCGGATTAAAAGAAAAACTAGATGAGATAGATTCTATATTGACAGCTATTTTCCAAGATTCATAATGAAACGACTAATTTCTTTGCCTTGGCCTAAATTTTTAGTACAAATTTATCCATTAATACGCTTGCTATAATGCCACCTCCAATATATATATATATATAAAAAGCAATAAGCAAAACAAATCAGTCGCCAATGTCTTTGAACTGTGTGAAGTAAAAACAGGGTTGCCACTCAAATCTGGAAAAAAAATTCCCTGTGTTTTCCCTGTGCACAGATTATACACAATATATTAAGAGGATAAGAGGAAACAACAATTACTGTACTATTGTGTGAGCTATATAGGGCTTACTATATTTATTAGTTTTAATCGGCGGGAAAATAGCTGAATATACTTAATTAATGCTGTAGTAAGTGAAATAGTTCAGTATAGCTGAAATATCATGGCTAAATATCCCACAGATTACGCTCTGAGTGGTCACCATCTTCTAAAAGACAAAAATAAGAAACAAAATTCCCTGTATTTTCCCAGTTTGTAAAGAAAAAATTAAAATTCCCTACATTTTCCCTGTTATTTTAGGTGATATTTAAATTCTCTGCATTTTCCAGGTTTTCCCTGTTCTCCCTGTGGAGTGGCAAACCTGTAAAATCAGTTTTTCACCAACTCGTCATTCCGCTTGGAAATATATCCTTTGCCACTTTCCCATTTTTTCGTTTTTTTTTTAAATCTGTTCCCCCCNATATTTATCGAGTGCCAGTATTTTCGACACCTATCGAATGTCGATATTTTTCGTATGTAGATATCAATTGTTTTCACAATACATTTAAATATTGTTAAGGCGAAGACTCTCAGTGTAGTGAATGGTGACTGATGCAACTTAAATCTGTCGAGTCACAAAGTCCTCCACGTTCCCATATTAAATCATACCTCTGGGGGTTCTGATCCAGGAGTTTCTTGTCTTCTGGATTGGTTCAAAATTAAAAAGCTACGGAGTTGAACATTAGTAATCGTAAACCCAAAATTGGGTCGGCTGTTAAATGACGGTTATAATAGAAAATAAAATACTGCTAAGGCTAGCCGCGATGGCTCAAGGGATAGGGCTTTTACTTTCCAATGGGGCGAACCAGGTTCGAATTTCAGTGATGGCTGGTCGATACAAATCCCGCATCCGGCTTGCACCAACCACAGTGCTGACATAAAATATCTTCAGTGGTAGATAGATCATGGGTTATTGTCCCCTTGCCGTTAGGTTAACCCTGGGAGGTTTAATGCAAATACGGGTTAGTTTCATGAAAAAGTCCTCCACAAAGGCAAATTTCTCCCTATATGTGATCCAAGAGTTCCCTTGTTTTCTGGACCGGATTCAAAATTAAAAGGATACAGAGTTGAACA